TCAGGCCCTGCTACCCCTCACCAAATCCAACGAAGCAATGGCAGCATTCCTACTTGCCTCACTGCCGAAGTCGATGAGCAACGTCGTCGATAACATCCAGACCAAACAGGATGTTACATACGAAGATGTACGCCAACGGCTACAAAACCTACAAGAGGAAACCCCTCTCACTGGCAACAACAGGGTACTTCATACCAGGAGTACCCCAACACCAAACGGCAAGGAATGCACCTGGTGCAAGAAACGGAATAACCCGTACCAGGGCCACGAGTACAAGGAGTGTAGAAAGCTCAAAGAACAGAACAAGACAAGGGATTCAAACAGAAGGAGACCAGGCAGAGATAACTCAGCGTCGGTAGTTATCAACGAATCATCCACAACAGTATGCATGGTACGCACCGATACTTCACCCTCTCTGCCCCTTACCTGGATCCTTGATTCTGGAGCTACTTCTCACGTAACACCTTTCAAAGACCAACTCTTCAACATCCGTTCTCACACCAGCACAGTCCGAACAGCCGACGGCACCATCCACGCTGTCACCGGATTGGGAAGCGCTAGTTTCGAATGCTACCTTCCCAATGGAGATAGATCCACCGTTGTCCTCACCGACGTGCTGCTGGTCCCAACCATGGGAAATGTGGGATTGGTCTCAGAAACAATACTCGACGAAAAGGGGTTTAGAACAGAGTCAGGAGGAGGAAACAAATTGGTCACGAAAGAAAAGAAAGGAATAATTTGGGCGAAATTGGATAAGGGACTTTGGAATGTACAAGTAGTTAGCAATACAGTTCGCTTGACCACTTACTCTGAATGGCATCAAGCACTAGGCCACCCTGCGACACTAGAAAACTTGTACGAAGACATCCATAAGCTACCCCCCAAACCAGAAACATTCCATTGCAGTCAATGCGAACTATCAAAAAGTGTGCACAAGAAACCTGCACCAATTAGTACAAGATCCCAGCGAGCATTCGAACTAATCCACTCTGACCTATCTGGAAAATTCGGCACACAATCGCAAGGAAAAGCCCTGTACTATATGTCCTTCATTGACGACTATACCCGCTTCGCCTGGATATATCTGCTAAAACAGAAAGACGATGCGATAAAAGCCATCAAAGACTACGTCACGAAAATCGAGAAACAGTACAATACAACAATACTGAGATTTAGAACGGACGGTGGTGGTGAATACGTCAACAAAGACACAATGGATTACTTCAACCTACAAGGAATAGTCCACGAACAGACTCCCCCATACACTCCTGAATCAAATGGAGTTGCAGAACGATTCAACAGGACGATAACAACAATGGTCAGGTGCATGATCATGGACCATCCTAAATCGTTATGGGGTGAAGCATACTCAACCGCTGTCTACCTCAAAAATAGGCTACCCCACAGTACGCTAAAGGGAAAGACCCCCTTCGAAGCCCTGAAAGGTTCAAAGCCGAGTATCCAACACCTTCAACCATTCGGAAAGAAATGCTATGTCCACATCCCAGAAAACTCTAGGCCAGCAGGAAGCAAACTAGCACCCCGAGCACACGAAGGAATCATCGTCGGATACTCAGACAGTACCAAACATTACCGCACCTGGATAGGATCACAAAATAGGTTAGTTGTAAGTCGAGATGTCACATTCCCCCCTCCTGAATCAGGGGAAGTCTCCGTGGAACTCGACTACACCCCTATCCTGAAACCAGAAGCGGCACCTGCACCGACAGACGACGGATATGAATCAGAAGACAGGCCTGATCAAGAACCCGAATCGTCAGCACTCGAAGAAGACCTTGAAACAGACGCAAGTAGACTGGGGGCCGGGCTTACGAGGCCCACTCCTGGACGTCACCTCGAACAAAGTAATAAACAGGAAGCTAATCAGGAAAACACAGAAACACCTCCCCCGGAACCACCAAGGAAATCGAAACCTTGGAAACCAACAACCGAAAAGGAGAAAGAATCTGAAGTCCCGCATCCTGTCACAACAAGAAGATCGAATCGCATCCGTGAAAGAACGGAGAAACAAGCAGCACTTGATATCGAAGGGAAAAGGAAGGAAATCCGACTGAAAATATCGGAATTAGGAACCACCTATGACAAGGAGGTATCAGAGATACTAGCCGATGAAGATATGGACGAACAAACCAAGCAACTAGCAATGGAAGCAGCCAGTCTAGACCACAAAAAGGACAAAGCAAAGCTCCAAAGCCAGTACGACAACCTGGATTCCACCATACATCGGGTACACCTAGTAACTGAACCTACCACCTTCAATCAAGCAATGAAAAGCGATGATCAACACCTATGGAAGAAGGCAATACAGACAGAGAAAGACGCCCTCGACAAGGCCCACACCTGGGACATTGTCGACAGACCAACCAACCGAGCAGTAGTCAGAGGAAAATGGGTATTTAAGGTAAAACACAACGCGGACGGAACAATCGAAAGATACAAAGCTAGATACGTCGCCAAAGGCTTCACCCAAGTACAGTATCAAGACTATGATGAAACCTTCGCCCCCGTTGCCCGATACGATTCCCTAAGACTCCTACTTGCACTAGCCGCACACAACGGTTGGATATCACAACAAATGGACGTCAAGTCAGCCTTCCTATATGGTATACTTAAGGAGGAAATCTACATGGAACTACCTGAAGGCTACAGGCAGGACCATAAGGTTTGTAAACTTCGAAAATGCATATATGGACTAAAACAATCACCCCGTGAATGGTACGCTTGCCTAGCAGACTCCCTTCAACGGAAAGGATTTGTCCCAGCCAAATTCGACCCATGTGTCTTCATACATAAGAAACACCAACTATACATATCGGTGTATGTTGACGACATCATGATATTCGGACCCGACTCCCCATTCAGAAACGAAATCAGACAACTACTTAAGGCAGATTTCGAATGTACGGATCTCGGTAATGCGAAATTCCTACTGGGAATAGAAATAACGGTATCAAAGAACGGTATCACGTTGTCACAACTAGCATACATCAACAAAATCCTAGACAAATTTGGAATGAATAACTGCAAACCAGTTGGGACACCACTCGAACCAAATCTGAGTCTTCGTAAAGGAGAACCAGAAGATCAAATCGAGAAACCAACTGAGTATCAATCCATAATTGGATCACTCATGTACGCCAGCATAGCAACCAGACCTGATATCACCCATACCGTTACTGCCCTCTCTCAGTACTCCTCATGCCCAACTGGGGACCACCTACGAGCAGCCAAACGAACTCTCCGATACCTCAACGGAACCAAAGACTGGAACCTGTTCTACCCGAAAGGAAACACTAGAACACTCGATGGTTTCTCAGACAGTTCCTACGCTTCAGATTTAGATGACAGAAAATCGTTCTCAGGATACGTGTTCAGACTAGGAAAATCAGCCATAAGCTGGAGAAGCCGGAAGCAGAAATCAGTCGCAGTCTCAACAACAGAAGCCGAATATATGGCTCTGTCCCTAACAGCTCGACAACTGGTATGGATTCGCAACGCCTTATGCGAACTCCAACAACAATACCAATACAACATCCACGCCGACAACACAGGGTCCATCGAACTCTGTCGGAACCCACGTATCCACGACCGGTCCAAACACATCGACGTTCACTATCACTACACACGTGAACAACTCGAAGCCGAAACCTTCAAACTCCTCTATGTCCCAACCGAAGACAATGTTGCAGACATAATGACCAAAGGACTACCGAAACCAGCTCACCAAAAATTGTCAGAATTGATACGATGTGGCAAGTGAGGGGAAGTGTAGAAATAGGGCATTGCGACATCGGTTATGTATGGAATTACTCATGTATAAGGGATGACTCATAGAAGGAACAGGGATTCAGACAAGGCTTAGTGTCAGGGATTATGTAATCAGGGGATCACGTGGTATTAGAATATCTGTATATATAGAGCGCTCAAACACCCACATTGTCGCTGGAACTTCAGCGGCGCAATAGTATCTTCTTCGCACTACAAACACATCCTCCCTCAAGGTCACGTGTTCAAACCACATTCAAGTCATTTTCTCCCACACTACAAACTTCAAAGCCAAAAAGTGGAGCTCCTCGTAATTCAAATACAGCAGACACAATTACCGTAGCCAGTACCAGCGGTCGTTCGCGGATTGGTCCTTGGGATAAATTTCAGAGCAAGCAGAAAAATGAAGACTGGTGGACAAAGGCTGTTGCCGAACTTGAAGCAATGAAAGGTCAGTGTACATTTTGCTGGGTTACCACCAGGAGCCGGATTGCATTAGATCATAATATCGAGAATTGCACCCAACGCGTACCACTTGAAGATTTTGGTCCATATAAGCCCACTTATTCCGAATACAGGAGCTGGAGGAAGGCACTTCAATTGAGCGAGTACACATGCTGCTATCAATGTGCATTGCCGATGAACCTTTGCAATCCGGTCAGAGTGGTAAAGTGTTTGTATGGCCGTAATATTATTGCACCAGTAGCGTATATGGCTCAGTATCTACCAACATTCCGGGCAGAGGTGGAGGCGTTAATGGGTAAGCCACTGCACTCATCAGAGTACCTGATTTGGCTTGGGCAAAAGCCGAATTGTATGGTAAAAAGTGTTCAAACTTGATGAAAGTCTTCGAGGTGGGACATAACCTTGAGCCCATTAATCAGGTATGTATTAGTTCTGATATAGTAGATAGGCTATACTGATGGAATCTAGTAATTTTTCTGGTAAGAATATTTTAAGCTTGTTGATGTAGCGTTGTGTGTGTGTGCTTTATAGCCTGGTATATTTAGGATCGAAACAGATGCTTCTGGATTTTGCTGACATATTCTAGCGGAATCCTGGATAATATGAGGTTTTTTATCGCTTTTTATATTGAGGCAACCTCGCGACATGGTGGCTAAGTTTCTTTTTATTTGTAATGGTATAGAAGGTAGATGTGACGAAATATATCTAACTTGCTTAATACAAATTTGTGTTTTGCTAAACTATTGTCGATGTTCTCCAGTGAAACTAACCGCTCCGGTAAAGATTGTCCGCTACGGTGTTTGATGACAGAAGTATTTAGAGCCACATCAGCAAGCTCGCCTATTACCCAGGGCGCAGCCCCTACGTCCTGGTGGGCATTCTGCGCCACGAGCGCCCAGCGCGTCCGGCACCGCCAGAGTACAACCTTCGCGCCAGGCTCCGCCGCAGGACCGTCCAACTCTCTGGGACCGCCAGGAGATATGGCTCACGTCCGGAGGGCACTCGCCAATGCTCTGGTCGCCTGGGCCGCCATGAGATTCCCTCCCCCCGGAGACGCTAGGATGGAGTGACTCCACCCACAGCACCTAGGAACTTTTGCTTCTTTTGATTACGTTAGTAGTACACTGGAGCACTTCCCAATGCTCTCACAGTTTTCTTGAATGCTCGCACGGCACGACGAATGCTCTCACGGCACGGCGAATGCTCTCACGGCACCGCGAATGCTCCCGCGAATGCTCCCGCGAACGCCCCCGCGAACGCTTCCGCGAACGCTTCCGCGAGGGCTTCCACGAGGGCTTCCACGAGTGCTCCCATAGCATTAACCAATGCTCACAGAGCTGAGGCATTCGTCATACCCACTCAAGGTGAGGCAACCCTCATTTGGGCTCCTTTGGATTGATACACCCTTCTCAAAGGATAGGAAGGCCGCACCAGTCCCTCAAAAGATATCTAACGTGCGTATCCTCAACGCCGCTGTACGGTCAGTCGCGGGATACTGATACGAGCACTGTCCTGTATACTGGTGACGACTACCCAACCTTTGACGGACGTGTATGTTTCTGTCGATTCGTGAAAGGCATAATTAGCCTTGAGGTTGAGGCCATTGTACGGCTCGTCTGAAAAGCTCAATTTCCATGCATAAGCAGCAAACATGGACTGGCATTGACCTCCTGGAGCGAGCTTGCTGGATAGCCAGACTCAGATACTGAGCGGCCGAAACTTTACCTCCTTCTTCCAATCCGCATGCATAGCAGAACGACACGTATTTTGAATTAGAGAGTCCAATTGGGTCTAACGTTCCTAGAGCACTCAAGAATGCCCTCACGGCTTTACAAGTATTCAACTAAATTCATTCCACGTACGCAAGTCTATCCTAGTATTTACCAACCAATTACCAGTCTCCACCTCAAACAAATGGGCCATTCCCAACATACTCCGAATATTAACGACCCACATCCTCTTCCTCCTCCTCCTACAAACCTTCAGGAGCCCATGTGAGCTATCAGCGATACCACGATCCTTTGCCTCGAGTAGCTCCACTATACATAGTCTATGTGCTCGCCCCCCACTGTCCCGCAGCTCGAACAAAGCCTCGACACGTCCTGGTAAGCGTCCCCGAAACACTCCCCACTCCTCTGAGGACGCTACCGACACCCATACCCAATCCTTTCTTATTTTCCCTTTCCTAAAAGCCGTGTTTCCCGTACACCTGATATTGTGAACCTCGTACACCTCAGGTCTTTGGAAGATTTGTATCGGAACCTCCAAACATGTGAACATCTCCACCCGGCGCTCTAAAATGCTCTCAGAGCTTCCGGCAAAGCTTTGAGAGCATTCCGCATCCTCTGCATACTCCTTTATCAGGCGATATAACATGGTATGGCTTATTTGCAGTCCATCCGCAATATTGAAAAGTATTTCCGATTTCGTGGAGGGGTTACAAAGACGCCTTAGAGGCAGTCGGCCTTCTACTATGGATCTTTCATTTGGTGTTTTTTTCCGGTCTTCGATTTTAAAAATCTCAAGTAACTCCTTCAGGTTATCTCGATGGCTCCAAAGGATGTCGTCAGTGCTCTCAGGACCTCCAACAATATCTTTCAGATTCAGCATTCGAATCTCTAACGCCAACCGCCGCCCCCCATAGTCCAGTATCTGCGTTGCAGCATCGACCTTGTTGGATGCTCCGTATGCCTCTTTTATCTGACGGACATGGACGAGTTCGCTGATGTCGGTGGAGTACTGGGGAATGCTCCCAAAGCGCTCTGGGAGCCTGAGGTCTTCACAGCTTTTGTCCGATCTCTCGCATACTTAACCGTCCTCTTGTAGGCCCGGAATTCTAAAAAGATATCCTTGTGCTTATGGAAATCCTGGAGATAGCTCTCCATATAATTCAGTGTGCTCATCGTATGATTCCCATACTGCGCCATTAAGTGGAAGTCGATTAAGCCTCGTACACATTTCAATGCCTTTGCGAAGTCGCCCCTGACAGCCACCCCCGGGTTTCTCAAAGCAGCCGCGAGTGCTCCAACAACGACCCGCCTCAGATTTCTCATCTCCTTCCCTTGCCATTGGGTTGTGGCACGATATGCATTGTTCGGTACTGCCAGTCCAGGGTAAGGCGCAATCGAGGCCCAAGCCTTATCAAATTCCTCCAATCGATTGTGCTTCTTCAAGAAAGCCTGAACCCACTCCATCATGTGCTTCAACATCCCTAGGTAGATATTGTGCAGAATGTCCGGTTTGTTGAGATCGTATGGATTAACCCTCGGCATACCCCAGAAAGCATTGAAGAGTGTCTTTACTGATCTCGTGACAAGGTATTCCACCGGTCCCAGGTTTCCTGGGTTCTCACTGAATAGCTTTACCCTCTCCCGGTAATCCTCGTGATCGCGCGTAGGGCTACGGGGAGTGCTCCCAAGACTGTGGAATTCCACCTCGCATCTTGGACAAGAGCTAGTACTAATATTTTGTAAGTTTGAATGCTCAGGTTGATCAGCGATCCAACCCGACAACACCGGAAAGCATAGACGTTCGTACCCGTCGGCGCATGCGATTAGCTCGCCTTCCTGAGAGTACTCCCGAATGCTCTGAAAGATCTCCCCAAGGGCGCGATGCAGCGCCATTTGACTCTGACGTCGTAAAGCGGAATTAGCAAGTGAGTTCTTCCCGAGCTTAGGTGGGACTGGCAGTAGCCCTAGGAGAATTAACGAATGCCCGGTGGGCTTGCTCCGGACCAATGACTTGATGTTCCCGATGGTAAGATAGATTGGCCAGGCGTTCTTGTCCCCACTAAAATTTGTGAAATGTGTGCCATCTGACGCGCATATAATTGGTACCACAGTCGACCCCTCCGGTAAGGTATTCTGTCCAGAAAGCATTAGCGACTGCCTCTAGAGCACTTGTGAGGCTTACCAGACCTGCGTCTCCCACCACCAATCTCCCGTATGCATTTCCCCGTATATTCTCTCACCAGATTCATTATGCTCTACCACTGGCGCGTACACAAATGACTCCCGAAAGGCCCGTTGGCCTAGAAGATATCGCACAATTACCATTGGATGCCGATAATAGTAAGGGATTTTCTCTCCCCCAATATCCACCTCCGAATGACGCCAGCTCGCCTTTCCCAATATGTCATTCATTTCATCCAACCTCTTTATAAAACCTCTCCCAGTCCGGTAGGAGCATTCGCCACTGCTTGACGGAGCGTGTAGAAAGAAACTGTCGATATTTCCTTGTGAGGCCTTCGACAGTATGAAATAACGTCCCATTCTAAACTCGTATGCTGAGTTGAATGGGTGCCACGGGTATCGGAGAAGGTTTTGTGAGCATTCATCGTAGTCCTCCGAGCGGTAGAGACGCTCCCCAGCACTCTCGTAAATCGTTGTCGCTGCCTCATGCCTATTTGCATCTCCATCTGTCTCTTCAATCATAAAATATGATTCGGATTCCAGATCTGAATTATTATCGGGATCTTGGTCATGATAATTGATACTATTGCTCTCCGAACTATCCGAGTCGTCATGGGCATCTGAATAAGAATCGTGAATGCCTTCCGGGCTGTCGTGAGTGTCATCGGGTGCCTCCTGGTCGCGCTCCAGGAGTAAAAATTGGTTTCCCAGCCATGCATCCGCTTCAAATGGATGTGTAGTCGAAGATGTTTATCGAAGTTCGCGGAGGAGCTGTACCGCTTGCTGCAAAAGGGGCAAGACGATTTCATTGAAGTCTCATGATGCTAGCAAAGCACTCCTGAGTGCTCTAAAAATTTGGTTTCTGCCAAGGCCGAGGAGGCTCTTTCCTGCAGGTGCTGCTGCAGAGTGCTCGAATGATTTAATTTGTCAGCCAATGATGCTCCTCTCACCTGCACCCCGGTCAGCAAGGCTGATTTTCAATACGAGTCTGATGTCAGACATCACCAACCTAATACAAACACCAACACCAACACGAAGAAACACCCACCACCCCAATCAGGCGGCCAGTTATGCTAGATTCTATCGCCCTGAGCATGTGCACCCTCTCCCTGAGCACTTGCGGAGTCTCTTCAGATCGAGACAGTGTTCTCAGCGCCCAATTCAACACTAATATCGACTACGAGCTCAAAGAATACATTCTCTCCGAATCAGCTTCCTAGAGGACAGAGTACCAACACCAACAAGAACACAAGCACCAACCCCAACACCAGAATGTTATCGACGTCACCATTGGTACCGTCAGAGCATCCTCGAGTGCGGCTGGAGCATTTAGATCAACGTCATATATTGAAGCAAACATTGAGTACGAGCACCCTCGAGTGCTTCTAGAGCATTCGTGGGTGCTCTCAGAAGCGTGATAAGCTCAAGAAAAAAGCTGATCGTACTCGGTATAAGAGCACCCCTCCCTTCCTTCAGGTTCGTGAGAAGTTCCTAACCACCTTCAAGTTCTCCTCTACCTATCACTTCAAGTTTTCCATTGCTTTCAACATTACCTGTTGAAATCTCATCCTTCAAGTTCCTCCGTTTTCAAGCGATTTAACCTTTGCAATCTTTATAAATAAGATTGTATTTCTCTCTCCTAATCCAATTAATTTTAGAACCATACTCACCACAGTGTTACATTAACATTATCAGACTCCAAACACTGCTCAGAGCACTCCTGGTAGCTCACAGAACACAAATCAACTTCCCAATAAGAAGCGCTTGCGTGACATAGACGAAGACGATAACGAAAAGACCCACCGAAAAACCAAGGAACACAAATCGTCCCGAAAACATAAGAAACACCGAACTTCCTCAGGTCGCAAATCGTCCCGCAAAACTGTCAAGCCTATCCTGGAGGAGATACCAGAAACACCCCTAAGCAGTCACCAGTGCTTTCCGGGTTCACCCCGATCAACAAGAGCCGAAAATAAAACCCTGTACCTCCACCAATCCGGACTGAAACCCGGACTCCGCCAAATACTAACCTAGCTCGATCGGACACTGACGGGATCTTCCCGAGTAACTGGGGAGCAACCCTAACTGATTCCGACTCCTTTCCTGACTTTAGTTCCGAACCCTCTGAACCATACATAAGTGACGATCAAGACCCAGCAACAGGTCCAGCAACAGGCCCACTAGCAGCAGTCTGCACTGCTTCCTAAGCACGCAGCAGTGCTTCACCAGAGGCCCTTGTACGGACAACTTTACTTAGGGTTAGTGCTACCCCACCAGCACCCGCTAGTGCTCCCCAAAAGAACGTTGCCCGGAAGACCACAGTCCCAAGTCAAGTTCTCACTCGGTCCAAGTCTAGTGCAGTCCACTCAACAGGCCCAGCAACAGGCCGCTCAACAGGCCCAGCAGGCTCTACTACTCCCTCACCAGCACCCGTCAGTGCTCCACCGAAGGTTCTTGCACCGGAGACCCCTACATTCAAGCCCCGACACCCCTCTCGGTTATTTTCTAGTGCAAGCCCGTCCGAACTAATAGACCACCCCTTACCAGTACGACAGAGACGAATTAGACCCGAGCCATCGCCGATTGTCCAAGAGATATCCCCGAGTGTTCAAGAGACATCCCCGAGTATTCAAGAGACATCCCCGAGCTCGACCGCATTCAAGATGACTCAAGCAAGCAAAGCGAAGATGACTTTAGGTCTACTCAACCTACCTAAAGTGTACACCAGCATCCGCAACAGCCTAAAGGCAGAAATGCAAAATGTGGGTTGGGTCAATAAAAGCACGTCCGGTATGGCTGCGTTCAATGCCCTATGCCTTTACTTGATGAACTTGCCCTCCCTCAACGGTTTTCTGCCAATTTGGACTGGGGGTGACTCCGATGCCCGTAGAGCACTGGCGAGTGCTCTACAGTGGCTCATCGCAGATGTTGGTATGAAGGATAGGTTATCAAGGGGACAGGGAGACCGTCAGTTCAAAGAGGCTGCCGGTGATAGTGATGATGATGATGACGGCGGTGGTCAGGCAGCCGGAAGATGCTCTCGCAAAGGGAAAGAGCGTGCAGTACCTCCGGAACTCGTGCGACCTTCCATAATGGTTACCGTGGTGGACCCCGATGCTCTAGGGGCATTGTTTATGCTCGTCCCACCACCTACTTATGACTGGAATGATCCCCTGAACGAACCTTCGTTCATCGGAATTTTGACCAAGATAACTTTCCCCGAGCTATGCAACTTGATCCTGAAGCATACCGCACCCGGCAGAGCAGTCAGGACTATCTGGGGGGCAATTGAGAATGTCCCCCCGGCAGCTGTTCCTCCCGTTCGGCCGGTGGAGGTACAAATTACCGATTCGGAAGAACTGGAAGGTTGGTTGAAGAACAGCAATGCCAGGCCTCGGAGGATATTGGCGGTCCTCCACAGAGCAGGCGTGGGTGCTAACCTGGGTGGTGCGGAATCCCCCCGTTGAACCCGACTTTCCCTCACGTTGACGAAGATGATTATAGCATGATCGATATTCCTGCAAAGGATTCGGATTACCAGGAGGGAAAGCACCGGATAAATGCCAAAGGACTGAGGGTATATATGCTTAGAACTGATGCCAGTAATCAAAGGCTAATTCAGACTCTTGTTAGGCGTTGCGATAGACAGCAGGACGCTATCGACGATTTAGACCTCAAATACCTTAGGAAGTATCCTTTGGGTGTCGGGGTTGCTGACCCAAACTTCTTACAGGGGACGATCTGGACACCTGCCGGGATAGCAGCCAAGAGAGCTGCTGACGCACTCGCGGCTGCTGGTGCTGGAGGTGGTGGTGGAAGTGGTGGAGGTGGTGGTGGTGGAGGTGGTGCAGGTGGTGGTGGTGGTGGTGGTGGTGGTGGTGATGGTGGTGGGCATCATTAGTTCCCTTTGGTATAATCTCTAACTTCCCTTCCTGTGGAATTGTCACTAACCTTTTAATAGTTGTTAGGATTACTCCCTGAGCACTCGTGATAGCTATTGAGGTGCGGTACGATTTGGTGTTTTGGATTTCCCTTTGTCTTGCGAGAGTATATCAATGGATGGGTTATATCGGATAGGATTAGATTAGATTAGATTAGATTAGATTATTCCAGGTAGTAATTGCATTGCTTTTTTTTTCAAACTCCTAGATTGCTCTCAGAACACTCGGTACCGCTTCAGAAAGTGCAGTAAAACTAGTGATGATAAATGATGCGGTTGAGTGCAGAAATTGTGGTAAAATAGGATGATCCCTGCCATAAGAGGATTAGCAGTGCAAATTCTTCTTGATTAGCGGCGCAAATTTTCTCACCAAGAATTGATTTCTAATCGAAGATATCGTGAGTGCTCCTAGAGCACTGCGGATATTCCTGCCAGTCATCAGAGTGGCTCCCACCAAGCGCTCCTCCGGTTCAGCACCTCTTGCCCCAAAGCGCCCACGACTCCCAAAACGACCTGAAGAACATGAAGATTTACTGACTGACGAGTCTGAAATATCTTACCGAACATTGACTCCACTGCCAGCCCGCACTCGGAGTAGTCAATCGACCACCGCCGCTCAAATAACTCGGAAAGGTCTTCTCCGTTCCTCCGAAACCCCCACTGGGAGGAGCAGTCCTAGGAGGGTAGAATTTCATCTCCCCTAGGACCATACTGATAATTTTGAAGCGCAGGAGGAGCCTGAGGCAATTGAGGCGCCAGAGGCAATTGAGGCGCCAGAGGTGGAAGAAACTGTTGATACTAGCCACTCAGACTATGATGATGCTCCGGAGAATAACCACGAGAGCTCTGAGGAGGATGAGGATGAACCGGAGGATGAATCTCAAGCCCCCCCCCCATTTTACACCCAAAAGTCTCAGACTGTCGGAAAGAGACCTCATACAGTTCAGCCGACTACTGCCAGAGCACTTGGCAATACTCGGAGGAAACAAACTGACGCGGTAGCGGAGGTCATTGCTTCTTCCAACGTGTCGGTGGACGTGGTACAGGTTCGACTCTATCTCGTTCATTGATGCTTTTTAACATGTAAGTATTAGTGGCTAACGATTCAGAGGGGAACTCGACCCGGCGCGAAAGTAATACGTAAACAAGGTCAAGGGAGAGCAGCACCCACTTCAGCACCCAGCCAGAATAAATCCCAGAGAGTACTCCCGGCATCCCAGAGAGCACCCCCAACACCCTCACAGTCTAGGCCCTCTGCACCTGTTTATGCTCATGAGTATACCTCTTCTACGCGCCATATCGAGTTTTCCTCGATGAGCTCTGTATACGGGGAGTCGTCCCCCACTTACTGGACATATCGCTCTTCACCGCCTAGCGAGCTAATTGGCGAGAACTCTGGGAGCAGTCGTCAGATTCCTTCAAGCCAACTTCACGGTCAAGGTAGATCGCGAAGAGTCTACGAAATCGAGTACCTTCCCTCATCTAGGGAGGAGGACGAGAGTACTCCGATGCCGGAAAGCGAGGGTATTTTGATTCCGGGAAGCGAGGTTAGTATTCCGGAGGACACTCACGACCTCTTTGAGAACACTGGCGACATTCCTTCGAGCCAATTGACTCAGAGGTCTGTGGTCCCTAACTCTAGGAGTGCAAATATGCTGTCAGTGCAGGCTCAGAGGATTGAGAAGGAGTGTAGCGTGTTAATCGGGGAGCATACTCTTCTACATGAGCTCTTTCCACCTGCAGCAAGACTTTCGGTACTGGTAGTGAGCATGTGGGCAACTGCTAGTCGCCGAGTGGGGTGTAGTGTAGACCTTGATGAGGTCGTTATTAAACAGATGAGTGCCCCCAAAAGGATTACGAGTGCTCTGGAAGCATAATTGAGAATGATAGGTGAGAAGTCTGCACTTCCGTGTCCGTTCCCACTTGATGCACGAGGTGAAAGGGTGCCTGGCGGACTCTAGGATATACGGGCTTGGAAATTTTGTGGGGCCTGAGGCGAGGGCGGCTCAAGTGGAATACCTTTTGAAGAATGATCGTTTCTTAAGCCCCCAACAGCATTACGAGGTATGATGCCAGTGGATGCCCAGAGAGCACTCGGGATAGCCGGTAACAGATTCTAGATCTACCGACTGCGCTTCCTGGCTCCGGAAATTATCGATATATTGTATTTTAAATACTTCAATGGGGTAAGAATGCGAGGGGTTAGGGATCCCGAATTTCTAGAGCGGATAACCACTACCCTTATTTGCCTGATATCGACGGCGATCTGGCACGGCATTCGGGCGTGGTCAACAGGGAGTTACGTGAAGCCTGATAATTTTCAATCGCAGAATGAGAGTGTTGTGAGCAAGTATGGCCCGATGCCCTCATTGATATGGCGAGTGCCTTGGGAGCAATGACGGATGCTCCTAGGGCTATACGGGATTGCCAAGCTGACATCCAAACACGAGTAGAAACGTTCAACAGTATGAGCAACACTTGGAAGGGGAGAAGTAAACAGAACCAGGAGGCAACCTTGGAGGTAATCAAAGATAACCTTCGAGAAAAGGTATGATACTTCTAGATGCCGGTAATGCGAGTGGTATTCTAAATGCTAACCCTAATAGATAGGAGATAAAGAAGGGGTAACGATTGAGATTATACCGGAGGAGGGTTTTAGCGACGACGATGAAGCTCTAGCTGCGGATCTTGCCGCATTCCGAGATGCTCGGAGAACACCCACGAGTGCTCCAGGAGGTCAGGTTGATTCCGACAGCGCCCAGGACGAAGTGATTAATGCCCGACTTCGCGGCATTGACACCGAAGAGGAGGGGGAGAAGGAAGAAGAAGAGCCGGAATTACCTGTAGCGGGGGATTACGAAGGGGGGGGGGAGGAGGATGTGTAGAACAATCACGAGTGCTAAGGGAGATAGTGGGGGATTTCTTCTGATTCGTATATTGTATTAGGGTTAGTTAGGGTGTTAAATGGCGTATTGTATTTAGTATTAGGCGGAGGATCATGGTGTTGAATACACCAATTCTCAAAGTGCAGTCGCGAGTCCTCTGGAGACAGTAGAGATCGTCGTCCGAGTGATGTTTTTGTAATCTCATGGGGGAATTGTGAATACCAGAGGCCGGAACGGCGGAGAGGTGTATACCTAGAGAGAACGGGGCGCCGACATGTAGGAATCGGTACGTCGGGCATGAGCCAGATTTCAAAGCACCCCATCCGGCAACGTCAGGGGGAGTCAGGGCAATCATTCTATCCCCAGAGCCCGCTGAAGCAGTGAAGAGTGCTCCAGGAGCAGTCAGGATATCCAACCGTGCAACTGGCGTCCTCTAGCGGGTAGAGTGACGTCCTAGTTACACCGGGCGCTATTATTTAGTGTCGGGGCCCATTGTGCGGACTAGTGTGCGCTGGGGCGGAATAATGTGCGCCAGACCTCGCCAGGAGCACTGGTGGTATCTCTGGAGAGGTAGTTTACCTACCGAGCGCCCTGAGTGCCCTGAGCGCCCCGGGCGTCTGGCGAAGGCTACAGGTTTGCTGATGGGCCAACAGGTAATGTTGCCGTTACAAAGATGATCTATCACATTTTGTATGCCTACTAGGTGTCAAAAGATGGCATGTCAGATTTTAGCGACAGCGGGATGAGGTTTTGTCAATAATAGACTAGGTTTTGAACATGGAACTTGAAGACAAATTTTGACATTTGGGCGTGCAGATTCATCATAGCGAAGCCTGTTTTTTGCTGATTTGGTGGTTACAAAAAGTGAAGCAGTACAGCTGTAGAGCCTATCGTAAAAGTTGTACTTTAGCAGTGCTGAACTCGCTAGATGCTCGGGACGTAGGGGCTACGCCCTGTGTAATAGACGAGCTTCCTGATATATTGGACTTCAATATGATCGTATTGTACTCTCATTTGTCTGAGCTACTGTTACGAACCACACCCACCACACAAGGAAGAACGAGTCATCGCGGGATTCTGGAAGGTTCCCTAGGTATTGGTCATCGCTAGTCTGTTTTCCTTGTATATAGGGGTCTCTCACCCCGCTTAGCTTTACCTTTCCTTTCTTCTCTACGCAACATCTTGTACTATACTTTGGGTTATTACTTTGAGGGATTTACTTCGCTTCAATACACACTTTACTTCAAAGCCACGTTACGTCTGCTGTTCATCATGCTCTTTGCATCCGCCGTCGCTGTCCTCACGATGCTCGTGACCTTCGCGCTGTTCCCCTCGGCTAACCCGCCGACCGCTATCCGCTCTGTCCTCGTACAGGCCTCGGCCCCTGTCCTAGTACTGACCCTCTCCCCTGCCTTCGTGCAGGCCGCTGAACCATTCCTCGTCTCAGTACGAGCCTTTGTCGCTCCCTCTTCTCGGAGCTCCCTGATGTCCCTCGACCCCGTAGCTATACCCTCGCCCATGGTTCTTTACAGCTACACTGTTTTGACTGTTTCAAGTTCCTTATCGTCCATCAATACCCTAAGCCCTTTACCTTTAAAGTTTTCAACTAGTCCTATTGCATACTTCTCAAGTGCAGTGACAACGTGAATAAGTCATGGGGGTGGTATGTTGGCAATATATTTTGATGAAGTAATAATGTTTATTGAATTGGTTGCTATAGTAACTGTCTTGCCAATCCCTGTTCGTTCATGATGCCTTTGTTTTTTCACAATACTATTGTTTTATCGTCTCTGTATAACCTTCCTAATAACGCCAAGCCTGCCAATACAATAACACTCACGCAGTAATATTCTTCCTCGTGTGGAAGTGATTCAAGGGGATAAGGGACAGTAGGGGGGAACCTTATCCCAACTATCAAAAATAATTAGTTTGTCTGATAGTGAATACTTTCCTGATTCCGATTATATTTTCAGATTCTCTGTAGCTGGCTTGGTTATTAAGTAGTTGTTCAAAAACCCCAAAATCAATTGAAAACGGTTGAAAACCGGGTCGAATGTGGTTAAGTTTTGCAAAAGCCGAAAGTTGTGAATTTTTCTGGGATGGAGTGATAGCTCTGGGGCTGCTGATTCTAAATTTGCTATTTTCCTGGCTTATATCTTTGTGGTTGGGTCGCAAATTTCAAAAAGTCGTTCCGTCGCTGGTGTTGTCTTTTTTGCCGGCACGCATGGAGATAGGGCGGATATGAAGGCGGAGCTGAACGGGGCGGTGGTGCCGGGTACTCCCCGACCGAAAACGGGGGCGGTTGAGGTTTACAGAAACCGGTGGTTGAGGTTCACGGAAATTCGACGGTTGGCGTGCATCGCAGGCCGCCGGCTTCAGCGGTTGAGATTGATGGCCACAGTGTAATTAGATACTGAGCCAAGACTAGCATACAAGAACAAGATGCCTAGTTTAGTGCAGAGATATATGTTTGGTCCTCCGCCGCCGGGGGAAGTGTGGATAGTATTGCAAAAATAAATGGAAACTCTGCGCTAGCTAGAAGTACCTAAATAAATTAGCCACAACAACTAATTCTTTCGAATACTTCTGATTGAGCCAATGTTAAAACCTGAACAGAGAATCACAGTATGCGGTCGATGTTGGCCACTCACAATAGTGTCGAGGTTGATAATTGTGTATTTTGTGATGGAGGGGAGGGTTGGCGGAGGTCACCTAGCAGCACCAGATCTCACTCGTGGCCGATTTTCTTTTTTTGGTTCAATTCATTGATTGGGGAAGAGATCTTGTTTGTGTACATACACGAGTAGGATCTCTCCGCGCGAATGAATACTGGCTCTCCCCACCACCGGTGGGGCGTATCTGACCAAATTAAGCGGATTAGACAAGTAGCAGTCTTAATCATTGACTGAACATGGTCCTATGGCTCCATATAGATATACCCCAAGACGGATGGCAAAGAATATATGTCCTAGGGCCAACTAATAGCCCTGGAAAGCGTTACTTGGTACCCTTGAAGTCCGGGTACAAACCAAAATTCCAGGAATAAGATTCAGTATAGCAAAGCCCACGCAAGACTGCCGGAGACTCTCTTCCCAGGATCCGCCGGTGAAGTTGCGCTGAGTAGGGAATGTGACCGCGAGGATGGACTGTATATAGTACGTACTGTACCTGCCGGCTGAGATATATCAGCCTGGGAATATGTATTCATGCGGAGTCATCTGGGAGTTAAAGTCAGCCTGCATTTAGGGGATCTGTAGTATCTCGTGTTGCTAAAATAAGGCGCTCCAGTGCAAGAACATCTGTTCTGTTGTTGTACAGTAAAGGGAATAACATGTACAGCCGTATTCGAAAAGTACTGGCACCCTACTATATTGAGTCGTTCATGAATTATAGCCCACCAAAATCCATAGCAGTCGCGCATATTCAACTTATTCATAGGTATGACCGCAATAGAGATATGGCAGCCCTCTCTAGCAAATGTCTCGAATATGGGAGTTGAAAAGCAAAAAGGACTGCCTGTGCCAGTGGGTTTGGCTCAGAGGTGCCAATACTTTTCAAATGCGGCTGTACATACATACAACGGGTTTTTTTTGCATGGGATAGGTTGTAATCGGAGTTCTCTTCTTTTTCTTTTTTTAATTTGCGGGGCTATTTCGAGGAGCCTACACAATTCATTCTTTATAGATGTAATTAATTGGTTGACTTACATCCTCCTCCTTACTACTAAAAAAAAAAGAAAGAAAAAAAAGAAAAAAGAAAGGAGAGAAGCAAAACGCGACCTGTGTCCTTCCTGATGACTGTGTCCCGACATTTGTCCTCCGAGTCTCTTATACTTTCTAGAAAAGATGGATTATCGCGGGATCTTATCAGATGCTCTCTTTAAGCGCCTGCCAAGCCTCACCCTCAGATCGTCGACAGCACCACATGTCGACCCTTGCTTCACTTGGCAACCTGGTATTCGCATAGCATCACTTTGTCATCGCTCAATCATTGTGCTTAGATACGGTCTAGGCTCCCTGTCCCAGCTACACATCGCGCTCCATCATACCATCCCATAAAGGGACAACAAAATTGATACCTTTAGTATGAATTTTCATATTCCAATATATACCCGAACCCGCTACCACTAACCTTATCGATGGGAACAATTTGGAAACGAAACGAAACGAACCCGCTAGTTTTCATAGCCGGTCATGCCATTCCCATCTGCTGAAAGCTCACAACTTATTCAGTCATATACCAACATCAATAGACCCGGTTGTCTACTTTTAAAGTCAATCATGGCAGGACTGACGCCCGATGACCCGGTCGAATTTCAGATACAACGATAATCACGGGAAGCATAATTTTCAGTGCAGATGTATCGATTAATTGGTACCTACTCTTGATCAACACCGGACATGTACCTCGGGAGCGGGTTCGATTTCAGCAGATCAAGAAAGTATGCTAAGATCCAACTGAAGCTATATCCCAAATATATTCTAATGGTAACAGTTTAAATAATAAAGGTTTAAAGGATTGACTAGAACTCAAATATCCAAACACTCCAGCAACCACTTCCCCATCTCAATCTTCAACAAATGAATTAATATCTGCGGGCAGAGTCCAATCAAATAATTAAAACCGCGCGTGGAAGCGAGATTCCTACCCCCATCTACAAAACAACCACCGCCAACCCCGCCTTCAGCGGCCAGGAAACATCATCGTAATCACCCTGGGGCGCCACCTCAAATCCGATTGTCGTCGCCGAAGCCGGGCATGGGAAAGTCGGGGTTTGTCCATCCCAGGTTCCCACAGCACCGTTCGAAGTAACGGAGAAAATCCCGTACGAGACATTCCTGTACGGCCTGCTGGTGTAGGTGTTCGTCGCCGAAATCGGTCCACCCACGCTGAAGAGCTGAACCTTCCGCGAGTTTGAAACTTCGCTGGGTGGCTGTGCCCACCCATTGGCAAAGGAGAAGCTGCAGGTTTTGCCTCCGTAACCGCTCGGGAAGTCAAACGAGAGAAGGGAATTGGTCTCGTGCTGGATTCCTTGTGCGGTGTACTAAAGTTCATGTTAGTACCTGTACCAGTTGTGCATCATGATGCGGAGAATCGACATACCCTGAAGACGTAGACATCACCCATGACAACCCCATTGCTGGGAGTAAAGATATTGACGGCAAGCGATGGGTAGATTAGTGTCACAGCGCGACGTTCGATTTCAACATCAGGAACCGGAGCACAAGAGACCAGGCCGGTAAAGGCAAGTAGCGATGCGAAAATTGAGAATTTCATATTTGGAGATTGATATCGAAAGACGAGTGAAGCGGTGGCTATCTAGGCAGGGACGGCTGAAGCTGCTGGTAGTCTTCGAGAATGAGGATGAGGGTGAGGATGGAAAGGTAGTGCGGAATACCTGCGTATTTATTCACATACCCATACCTATGTACTTGGAGTCGATAATGATTGAATTGCAAGTTCACGATGAGAATAGGATTTGCCCTGCTGGCCTGCTTAGTGTGTTTCTTTCCCATTCAGCCAATCCGATGGGAATAGTCCTCATACCCGATCCCATAATGTACCACCAGCTTCCGCTTATTCTTCAAGGTTCTGCATACCATCAGTGGAACGATCAGAGCTCGTATCATGAGTCACATGGTTGGTAAGTTGAGTTCACATATTTCGCGATATATCGATATCAGATTACTGGGCTGATGCTGCTATATTTAGCACAACCTGCTTATGGTAACACCAGGATGGTGCAAGTCATGTATTTTTGGGCAACATCGCTAATCTTGGACCGCACAAAGCATCCAGGAGATCCCGATTTTGCCGATCTTGCTGCGAGATAACCTAGTCGGAAGTGCATTTCGAATGTTTTCTCTGTCTCGTGCCCAGCCCAATCACGTGTGACCAGCTGGGGGTCAAGCTTTTCGCTAAAGAAATGTCTAATAATAGAGGGACAAGAAGTGGGGGCCTTTGTAGGTACCACTACTCATAATTTCATAGCCGTTATAAACACAGCTAGGTCTGCATAGCCCAAAATCTAGAACCTCACGCTGGATTTTGCGGCTATATATGCGCACCCAGTTGTGTTCACAAACGCTATGAAATTACGAGTACACCCATCAAATAAGTACAGCTCCCGATTTGTATATATTGTCGCAAAATTCGTATTCACCCGATCACTGGCTCAGAACCCAAACCTTTGTGTCACCAGGTAAAAGATGGATCTTGCATCGAAATGGTCTAATTTAAGGAAGGTCGTTGGGGGGAGGGGGGTGCCCTTTGGCGGATCGGGCTAGTGTGCTAGGGCACGTCATATGGGAATACGGGAACCTATCAGGGCTGACGAGAAACTGGCCTGATAGCACAGGGCGTCGGTAAGGATTACTGAAGGTGATGAGCCAGAGAAAGATGATATTGTGCCGGTTTGCCGGAGATAGTTTTCAATTTTCCGGGCGATAGTTGTTCAAAAGCTACGTTATATATCTTCCACGGGCATATACTCTCTGCGCATATACCGGGAGCGCGGCAGATAAACAAAACTGGCGTCTGAGGTAGTGAGCAGTAGTAGGATCAGAACAGGCCCTGCCTCACGTTGTGGATACTTCTTCACTTTGTCATCGGATACACTCCTGGGGGGCTATATTCCCGTCTAAAATTCATCAGCCCAAACTCTATACCTGGGTACTCAGGGGTGGCTTCCAATCGAGCTTTACTACATTTGATCCTACGAAGCGATTGCTCGTACCACCGAGAAACTGCTTGCTTGATTTGGCTAAGTTATCTTTTGACGGGGTGTGTCTTGACAGGTACGACCAGAGAAAGTGACATCGACATACTAGCCTTGTCGAGCTGTTGTGGACCAAAACGGGTTTACACAGGGCGGTCAAGAGATAGAATGAGATTTTGGAGGAAGTGAGGGAGAAAAAGGGGAAAATTGGTGCGGCTAAGGGACGTAGGAGGGCCGGAGAAGGCGTGGGGCGGCCCCGTGGACAACCAATGAGGAACCAGAGTATTGGTTACAGAGTTCATAGACAGAAGAATACGGGAGGCTGAAGAAGATAGACTTCAAAAGACGGTGGTTTGGTGGTTTTTTAAGACCTATCCCAACCCCCAGTCCTCGCTCTCGTTTTATTTGTATAGTTAGTTTTAGCTTTCGGTTCCCAGCCTTCACTGCTTATTGCATATTTTGTTTATATTAGTTCATGCTATTGTATCTTGTTCTATACTGCTTGCTTTTATATGTGGAGGCGGAGTGTCATGAGGTGAAGGGCAAAGAGAGGAAGGGTTAAATCTTTGGTATTATAACTTAAGGCCGCATACATATAATAAATAAAAGAAAAACAAAGGAGGAGAAAAAAACCTGCCAGCTGGTTCCCAGCCGTTCCCAAACATAAAATCAGTCAACCACAAACCTAATTCCTATTTGTACAAGAAATGTTTCAAGCAATGTGTATACCCTTTCCACCACTGCTGGTTACACAAAATCTATATTCCCATGGGTGTTTTCGGGGGACGGCCCCCGCCCCCAATCACAGGCAATCACTCGCTCGTTATTCTATCATCCCTTTTGAGATTGACCTTTTGATATATAGAATATAATAAGACTTAACAAATATAACTGACCTGAGTAGAAACTATATGCATTATATACCCATAAAACACAGTAACATATGTGTGTACCGGACATATATGTAGTCCTACGCACTTTAGTTGACCATGCGCGGAAGCAACACACACAACAACAGTCCCTGTTGTGTTGAGGCTTCCGAGCCTGTGGCTTATGTCCTATGGTGTATGTTGTCCGTTTTTATGATATTGATCCCCAGTATATATGTCAATAGGTATGGTACTAGACTCCGGTCGTCAAGGCCTTGTCATATATGTGGTGATAAATATAGAGCCTATGGTCTTTCAAAACCCAAGTTAGGACTCATAGTGATTGGCAAGAGATCAGGCCGGATCCTGGGTAGTCTTGTCTCATCCACAATGAGTAGGGAATAGGTCTCGGGAGTCTCGCAACGCCTGCGGACCTCGGGAGGTCCCGAAGTTACTCTACAGAGTCTGGTAGAACTATTGCAAATGTGGGTCTTCCGTGACCTGATAGTCCCATTGGCCTTTAAAGGAATTTTTCTGTAAGCACGGACTAAGAAACCCACTCGTACGCGTTTAGTACTGATCCTCGCATTAATTCTACCAAGAACTGTAATACGGAAAATCACGTGTCGATATTTCGTTTGATTCAAACTATTTTATTTCCCTCTTGTGTGTTCACAGGATTGTCACCAGAGAATTTAGGGCTAGTTTGGCAGCCGCCTCGAAAACTGCGTTTCAACGCGGAACTCCGTTACATTATTGGTGGTTGCTTCACAACCAACAAAACGCTCCTAAACGGTCCCTTCGTAATTATTGCATTATTAGTACCAGAATTACCATTAGCTGGGTGAACCAGTTCATCCAAGAAGTAGTAGTTATTGCTGATGGACATATCTAGGTTCCGGTGAGCCCCTCACACGTGTAATGCAATCATTATTCCTGCCCCCAGTACAGGGTGGGGGACAGACCCCGAGGCATCCGAGAAGAACATTGTAACCGAGTGATAACCTAGATAAATACCGGACACCGAGCATTTTTGGATCACTAGTGGGTGCGCGTGTCAACTACTGTAAAGAAAGAAGACCTTGCTATGTATGTAGCTAGAAACGAGACCTACATTCTGCAGTGGTAGTTTACCGGTGATGCGGTGAGTGGACTCAGGAAGCATCCTGACCGGAATCTCCGCCAGTGACTCAAGTCTCAAGTGAAATATTTCCTCGCTTGAAACAACTCAAAATCCCCACCATAACACTGCGCTAGCTCACAAGCAAATACATGATCTCATACTGATCAACATTGTCGCTACATGTACAGCCAAACACACGACATCACACTCACCGGGGCCTCCGAGTGGAGTTTTGGGCGCGATCCCCATAGTGTTAGGGTCCGTTCGCCGGATTTTGTTAGGCGAATGCAAACGGAGGTTTTTGAAAACGGAGTTTGGGCCTGCCGAACAGTATTGTATTGTAGTGGAGGTTTGAGCGTTGGAACGAAAAGTAGGTGCCCCCTGCTTTTCAAAAGCTCCATTGCAACGCCTTAACGCAGTCTCAAAATTGGTTGACCGAACACAAATATTTCTTGTAAAATGGAGTTATGAAAAAAACAAAACGGGGTTACTCCGTTGCCATACAAATTTCTCTACCAAAACTCCGTGTTGACAGGCAGCCAAACGGGCCCTTAATTGTTTCAGCAAGTTGCGGCATAGCAAATCAACAGCCAAATCTGCTGTTGACCAGCACCATGTCCCAGCCAGTATCACGTAGACCAGTGTTTCCCGCACTCCGCAAAAAGGAAAGCGCAGCACGCCCACAGCCTTGCACTACACCACACCTACCCAACTTCCCCGCATAAACACCCGTTGCTCCAGTGGGGGGGGCGGAAGAGTCGCGGCTGGGTACCTAGGTCTTACCTGTGTTTTTTATAGAACCGCGGCCAAGCACCACGGCGTTCCTCTAGGCATGATCGAGCAGCCCCTCACATTCACAGATGTGCGTCGCCCAACAGAATTCTTATATCATATTCAACCCCACAATTACATGTAGTGAACAACTCGCTATGGCACCCCGCTTTCATCGCGGGCCCTAGATTCCACACAACTAATCACAGACTATCACTCGCGCCAAGACCCACTAGTGAGGTTTTGAGCGCTCTCCACACTGTTGCTTCAGCAAGCTACGGCATAGCACAGGCGGATCTACGCTGAGTAGGCCCACACCCAGCCTCACAGTCTTACTCTAACTGGCTGGGTAACCGCAGGTTTACTCAACACGGCACCCCATAGAAGTGATCTATCATCCCGCAGATAGTGGATAACCTATGATACCATCCCGGTTTCATCACCATCCGTAGATACTGGAAAACTAATCAAATTAACGAATTAAACAAGGGGAGGGGGAGGTGGCACGACCCACCACAACATATCACTCTCATGTACCAAACATTACTTTACTCAGTACATCAGTCTTGCTACAGTAAAACAGGCGACATCACTCGTGCCAAGACCTCCGAGAGAACACTCTCTGCCCTGAGCGCTATATTCACGGCGTTTCATCCAGCGACCCAAGGCGTAGCACCGCCAAATCTACGCCGTTGACTGCAGCCACTACCAAATCTACGTCGTTGCTCAGGACCACGGCGTAGCAGAGTCTACGCCGTAATTACAGCAAATATATGGGTCAAGCCGTTGCCCGCAGCACGTCAACTTCTCGTGTTCACTCTGTTATCCCCACCCTTCGAAATTGTAAATAAATAGCACTGTCCCCCTTCCACCCTGACCGTATCCTGCGCACAATTAATCATCAAATATCACTCGCGCAAGACACAGCCGGTGCAATGCATCTCCGCCAGTGACTAAACCATCACCTCGTCCAGTGACCAGCCTCACGCGGGGGAACCTAAAATCCCTGGAGAAACGCCGTGGTGAAAGAGCAAAGCTCGAGGAGCGCCGTTGCGCTGGAGAGGCGCCCAATCGCGATCACACGCTTGTGCTCTTGTCGCGAGTGATATTTTATGATTATATGTCCGAAATTTACGGTCGGAAAGGACAGAGGGCGATATCACTGTTTATTTGCAGTGTGGTTGACTGACGATGATAGGTAGACTGCTCCGCGGTGGTATACTACCATTTTCATTAGCGGCGGGTTCCTCGGCGGTCTACAGCGGTCTACAACGTTGACCCTCGACCTACGCAGAACAAGTGATGAACTATATGTACCACCATGGCATTGTCCTGATTTACATACCCGAACTATCCAAAACGAAAAACATAGAATGACAGGAGTTTCGCTATCTAAAACAAGATATAAACACAC